AAACGCCTCTGGTGCAGACGGAATTAGCCTTGACATGGTGAGGTTGTGTTGTCCAACCATCTTACCCGTGCTGGTTAACCTATTTAATTCCTGCATACAAAAGGGCATTTTTCCTGCCCAATGGAGAACGGCTGTGGTCCTGCCGCTGCCTAAAATTAGCAGTCCTAAGGATGTCTCTGATTTGCGACCAATTAGTATACTACCAGTGCTGTCTAAAAAAAGCTTATTTATAGGCAAATCATTACTTATTTCACAGATAATATTTATTACCCAAGTTGCAGTCTGGATTCCGTAAAGGGTTTAGTATAACCACGGCTCTGTTGAGGTTCTAGATGACATTCTTGGCTGCGGACAGGGGTGAAACTTCGGCATTGGTGTTGTTGGACTTTAGCAAGGCCTTCGATACCTGAACCATGCATTGCTGTGTGCAAAACTTTTGTACTATGGATTTAAACTTAAGACTATTCAACTTATTCGTAGTTATTTGGATGACAGATCGCAGTCGGTCTCAATTGATGGGCTTAAATCAAAACCCTTGAACGTGGATAGAGGAGTTCCTCAGGGATCAACTGTTGGGTCCTTTATTTTTTATCATTTTTACTGCTGATATGTCGAAGTGCTTTGGTGACATAAACAATCATAGATACGCTGACGATACACAGATTCAGCTTTCTTTGTTAAGTCGGACGCAATTGAAGCGGCTAGGAGGCTAAACGAGTGTTTGGATTCAGTTTTAAATACTCTTTTAATCATGGCTTGAAATTGAATCCTAATAAATCAGCCATAATCTACTTGGGCCAGCTAAAGATTGGGCGTCTGTAAACTTGGTGATAGCAATGGATGGTGTGGTAATACCGGTTGTTGAGGAATATAAAAATTTGGGCGTTATCTTTGATAACAAGCTTAGATTCCGAAGTCATGTGTCTAGGCTTCTACAAAAAGCCTATTTTAACCTTCGCAATATTTACAAAAGTAAAGATATTCTTAGTTTTATGTTAAAAAGGTTCTCTGCGAAGCACTGGTCTTGTGTCACCTTAACTATTGCAACTTTGTGTATGGTCCTTGCTTAGATGTATTTACTAAGGATAAACTCCAAAAAGTGCAGAATTCTTGCATACGACTTATTTACCAGCTTAGACGTCACGATCATATCAGTCATAAACTTTCCGAACTGAAATGGTTGAATGTTTCCAATCGAGAAAAGCTGCATTTGCTTGCTTTCTTCATAAATTGATTAAAACTAAACTATCTGTTTGAAAATTAGCTCGTAGAAATCTGATTCACTCTCGTGCAACACGCTTTAATGTACTTTATGAAATACCTAAAATAACTAAAACCATGACTCAAAGCTCATTTTCCTATACATCAGTCAAACTTCTAAACCAATACAATATAGGTCAATTTGAAGATATGTCTCCTGAAACAACTTGCTTCTGTGAAGTATAAGTTGTTTATTATTGCTTATTTTCTTTGTATACGTACATCTGTTGTTATTGTTCATTGTTCTTATGTAATATTCTAAAATTAATGTAATGTAAAATTTGTTTCTTGTCATATTACTTTTCTTTTTGGCTTGTTGTTACTTTTTACATGCTCGGTTAAGTTAACAGCATAGCTGGCCTTCGCCGAGTTTAAAATAAAGGCGTTTTTATTTATTTATTTATTTATTTATTATACAGAATTTTGATTACATACAATTTTACCATATGGCCAACAGTTTTCGATATATTGAACATCAAAAATACAAGTTATTACATGTTCGCTTATGATGCCAAAACTTGTAGCCCAAAAATTAAAAATGTTTACCCACTTGGAAACTAGATGGAAACTGGTTTCCGATGCTAGGAACGAAATCCTAACCAGTTTGCAACAAAAAAAAGACAAGGAAACAGTATTTTGCGATATTTACGTAGTTCCTGCTGAAGCTTGAAATGTCGGCGCTTATGACCTTGGCATCCACTCCATATCGAAAACGACATTAATTCCAGGAATATCTGGGATGGAAGTTTTGTTTTCTTTCCGGTAATGGGTACAGCGTAGAGCGATTAGTGTGGTTTTTGCTGTTTTTAGTTCATATGACGTTTTGTGTTGGAAACGGATAGCACTAACCGCTCTCTGGTCTGACACGTGTTCAATTATTCAGCGACCGAACTTCGGGGTGATTCCAATATAACAAAAAACTAGATTTTCGTATTAATCAATAAAAATTGTATTACTTATATGTGCAAAAATGCAAGAGGTTATCCTTTGAACTATTTTATTTTATTCATATATCTCTCAACAGATACAACATCCAATTACAGAGAAACTCTATACAAGTGATGAAAAACAAATAGACACACATACAAAAAATAGAATGTATTGATGATACTAAAAAACCCTATGTGTGTGGGTATATCAGAAATCCAACACAGTTTCACATATTATGGTTTTCACTTCTAACACATGGAAAATCTCAGAAAATACTAGATTTCAGTATAGGCAATGCTTAATAAAACTGGAAGAGCACTACGAGACGCGTTGAATAGAGTTATAACATACAGGGTGTTTGATTTAAATTTTTCGAGAAAATTACATTTTTCTGTTTTGACTCACCCTGTACGGCTCGAATGAAATATGTACAGAAAAACATGAATGTCTTCCACTGTTTCCATCACTCAGTATAACAAAGCAGATTTTATCTAAAGTGATGGTCATGATACGGGAAGTCAAATGAATAATGATTTTAACAAAAATTCAGGGTGTTTCATTTAAAAAAATAGTAATTTATATTGCCGCTAATTTATGGGATACCCTGTATAGCTGAAAATATTTTTTGGTTGTAGCCTTTCTACAACTCTAATAGTAACGAAGATATTGAACTTTGACAAACTAGATGGACACCCTGTATATGTTCACTGATATTAAAGTCAAAGAGATAGCTAACCTCGCTAAAACATTTCAATATTTTATATGAAAAGGATGCTAGCATATTTGTTATAGCTTTTGGTAGATAAAACAGTCTACTTCCTACGATTCAAATGGAATAAGTCAGTCAAACAGCATCATTTAATTTGTCCTTAATCGCCCTACATTTTATGGCACTGCGATCTAGAAATGTCTCTCCTACCCTACTGACAGTACCAACCATCTGGCAACGTTGCTAAACCACGCTAGCCAGCCGTGAGCGATCTGATGTCGGACCCTGCACTCATTTTCAATGTGTACCAAAGAGATACATGGAAAACATGTGTCGTATCATTGTTATCGGTAAAAATTGGTAAAAAAATATGTATTTTCTATGTGTACAAAAATATCTACTATCGACCAGAGGCTGAGATTCACAGACCACGTAAAGAATCTCCTAAAGAAATCATACCTCCGACTCCGTGCTATATATCCCAACAAGTTTATCCCTAACTTCAAATTGAGGAAAAACTGGCCCTGCGAGTCACTTGTTATATACTAAGTGACATATAAATCCGAACACCCAGTTTAAATAGTTTTATTTTAATAAAATTTTGTATAAGTACTTAATGAAGCATAATAAGTAAATGATAAAAATTTCAAAATGATTGCACTGCTTTGAAGCCCTTTGACCTTTAATAATGTGTGGATGCACCCTGATGTGCTACGCATTCTCCAACGCGCCTAGGCATGCTTCTGATCAGGTGGTCAATGTCCTCCTGTGGTATCTCATTCCAGGCAACCACCAACTCCTCTCGAAGTGCTTCTAGAGTCTGAGGAGGACGTTGCAAATTGAGCAATCTCCTACCCATCATATCCCACACGTGCTCAATTGGGGATAAGTCGGGAGATCTTGGTGGCCATGGTAACAATGTGACATCATTATGTTGAAAGAAGTCTATTGTGACCCTTGCAACATGTGGTCGGGCATTATCTTGTTGGAAAGTTGGATCTGCCAGGGTGTCAAGATAGGGTAAAAGATGTGGTTCAAGAACTTCGTGGATATAACGCTGCGCGTTCATGTTACCTCTGATGAAGATTAAAGGTGACCTGGAACCATAAGCTATAGCACCCCAAACCATAACTCCAACAGTGTGATGAACATGTCTTTCAACAAAAAACTGTGGATTCCTCCTTTCACCACGTCGCCTTCTAACCCTGGCACGACCATCATGCATGCCTAAACAAAATCGAGACTCGTTACTAAAGACAATACTGTTCCATTCCTGATCCCAGAGTGTCTGCACCACTCATGGCGATTACGTCGGTGTTCTCGAGTTAAAGGGAGGACCCAGTGTGGCCGGTATGAAAATAATCCAAAACTTCTCATTCGTCGGTAAACACTTCGCATGCCAATAGGTCTTCCGTGTTCTGCAAACCATTCATTTGCAATGGACCTGGTAGTGGAGAAACGGTCCCTTAAGGCCAATAATCTTAGGCGGCGATCTTCACGGGCTGTTGTTCTACGGCGGCGTCCAGTGCCCCTTGCTCTTTGAGTACGGCCTTTTCGAAGCCATGCCTGACAACACCTAACCACAGTGTCTACACTTCTTTGCACTCTAACTGCAATTGCCCGAAAAGAAAGTCCAGCTTCCCGAAGTCCCACTGTACGGCCCCTATCAAACTCACTAAGTTGACGAAATCGTACAGGTCTCCGTACTCTAGGCATCGTAACCGATCGTTAAGGATGTCAAGAACCAAAATCCGCCAACGTTGATTCTTTACTGCGGCTGAAATATTCATTTTTAGAGCGTTAGTGAATTAAAAAAAAGCAGTATAAAAACCGGAATGTCCAACTGATAAGGCTGAAAATTTTTTCACTTGTTATTTACAGTAAGATAAATACATTCACCAACTTTTATTAAAATAAAACCATTTAAACTGGGTGTTCGGATTTATATGTCACTTGGTACACCAGTTCTTACCTACTGTGATACGAGTATTTTATCCTTGCCTCGATGGCATAGCTAAGAACAGACTGGTAGGTCGTTCAGAATAGTTGCGTAAGGTTTATCTTTGGCCTAAGACGTTTTGATCATGTCTCAAATAAGTTTACTTTTTGTGCTGCTTGAAAGTGCCCTAGTTAGCGAAGCCTAATTATTTTATTTTCATCCACAAATTAATACTTACATCTGAACCCATGTACGGATTTTGAGCAGACATGAATGTAACGATATATATTGTTTTCTAAAAGATTTTTGTTTTTTCTTCAGGGAGCTGGCTGCACAGCCTTACTAGTAGCAGTAGTATCAAGAAAACTAGAGCTAACGAGAGCTGAGAAACATGTACATAATTTTATGATGGATACACAGCTGACAAAACGGGTGAGTAGTTTTGCTGGTTTATCTTTCCCCTTTTTGTTAGATAAATGCTGTAGCATAGTTTAACCCTGTTAATCCCTTACCGTATTGGCGAAAGTTCCTTTCCATCCATAAAGGGCTATATTCAGGGCCTTTAAGGCGTCTTTGATTTTCATGGTTTTGTACTGTTTCTTGTCAGCGTTTTATTTTAAGGTTATGTCACAAATATCTATTTGCATCAAATTGTTCATGCTTTTGATTTATATCATCTGTTTTATCAGCCTGAAATTTCCTACGATTGAAAAAGAAAACATAACTTCACAATAGAAGAGCGCTGATGCTGACACGGAACAGGTGAAATCCAAAAATACCCCACCCTTTCTGAAGGAGATAAAAGACTATGAAAATCAAGGAGGCCATAAAGGCGTCCCACATTTGTAGGAACGACAGACGATACGGCCCTTAGACGGACTATATGCAATTCCAATTGCTGGATTCGATCCAGCCCCTCTTTTCTGTTAGGATATTGGATTCTGTGGTCCATATTCAAAAACCACTTAAGACATTTTTTGCTGAAAACGGCATTCTCATAGGTGAATGCGTATTTTGGGTATAACATACTCAAGTCAATAAGTGCCCTCCTCTTCAAATAATATTACGTAAAGGATGTCCATTGCATAAACATCTCAATCCCGTCCTTGTCAGTTTTCAGTTTTTTTTTATTATTATTCATAATACTCTGAATGTTATTTAAGGTGAATATAATATAATAAAAATTAGACGCAAAAGAGTCATTTGAAGCTAGTTTATTTATCAATGGCACAGTTTTATTGATTCCAAATTGTATGACTTATGAAGCTTTTGAAATGACATCGATAGAATTTTCCATCAATTTTTCTTTTTGTTTCAGTTGAAAAATGCGGCCGCTAACGTTTTAAGAGAAACCTGGTTGATCTACAAACATACAAGGCTAGTGAAAAGAGTAAATCCAGGTAGAGTAAGAACTCATCAAAGGAAATTTTTACTTGCTATATATGCGTAAGTATCATATGATTCCTATGGTTTACTACTACTATATTCCAGTATATGGCAACTCTATCTTAGTCCGTTCTAGCAGTGCGTGCTCAGATAAAACCACACGGTGTTGCCATTTATGCTGCCTGTGATTTTATTGCAGATTTGGATAGGCACTTTATATAGAGTTTTATTTTCATATTGGTGGGATACTGGACGAACTATAGAAAAAAAAATTTACCTGTGTAAAAATCCAATATGGCCTGTATAAGAATAAAGTTGATGCTGGAGGACAAGAGACGAAAAGTCATTATAAAAACTCTATTTATGCCATCTTGAAAACGTGGCAGTGTTAATGTGCTATTTATTTTAGAATCCCACTACAAAGTCAGGAACAAATTTAAACGATTTTGAGAAAATTCTGTTTTTCGTCTCTCTCCGGAAGTACTTTGAATTTTGAAACTTTTGTTTATTACCTGAATACACAACTTTGCCCCCATTTAATGATGGTGAGGGTCGAATTTGAGACACCCAGTATGCGAAGGCTTCCAAAGATAAATATTAAATTTTCTGCATCTTTTGAAGTTATCAACAATTGGATGGAGTCTGATTGGTCCCCCGTTGTTTCCCTCTTCCACCTAAAGAATTTACGCAAATTAAGATTATAAAATTATAATTATTTCAAAGTGCGTACTGAAATCTTGAAGCTTGGCATTTTTCCTCCAAGGTATTACAGGTTGGAGGCATTTTAGAAGTTTTAATAACTTTTTAGCAACTTTGTACGCCGTATTTTCAAAGAATGCGTAAAATGAGGCTGTAAAATAATAACAGAGATGAAATTAACATTGCTTGTACAAGGAGTTTCCCTTAAGTGGTTTAACTAAATTTTCGGCGATACGGCGTGTACCTTTTAACTTGTTTAACACGATGTCTGTGAATTAAGTGATAAGACTGGCAACGTAGCGTTCGATCTGGCAACAATAGACGCGCCGGGCTTCGAGGAGAGACAGGGGAACATGAAAACAGTTTTTTCTGAAAAGACTGACAAGGGTGACAATATAAAATTGTAATTATATTCACTGGCGGATTTAGAACGGAGCGCGGGGGGCGCGCCCCCTAGACGTCTGACATTTGCTTTTGCAATCTAACAGTGTTACTTTCTGTCACATCATGGTGACAGAGGCATACTAACTATAAGTTATAGCTATAGGCACTGAGCATTATGATTTTTTGGTATCCTTTGGTATTCCAATGCTGTCCCTCTTTGACATCACTTGTTTACGGCACAACTCTTACGATTTATACGTATATACGAGTATTGTGACTCGTGACAAATCTAAGTCTGGGTAATATATTAGCTATACAATAGTAATTTGAAAAGTGTGTAAATCTTAACTGATTTTGTTCGGGGTTGGTGTTGCAGCGAACCACTATGTTAGATGAATGCCTAAATTGGAAATAGACGTTGATGAGATATGTTTAGCGGTGCGCCTGTGGCCTGTCTAGAAACTGCTTCGATCGATGACCAAAATCAATACCACACGTCCCACACCTCTTCTCGCGTGTGTGTCTATATTGCTATATTGAATTCGTTTAAATCGCAGAGCTGCTGCACTATACGTGAATATGTACAGCCCTATATTCCTGTACTTGTTTATTACAAACATACATTATCAAAATAATTACGATCTAACAGATATAGTTTTTTCCAAGGATTTCCAACATTTCTACATGCGATCAACATCGGTTCGAAAACTGAGAAAACAATTATGTCGTGAATCTAAGTTCGACAACGAAAGTCTGAAAAATAACTAACATCTATATTGAATTTCGAAAATATATATCCCCTACTGAGCGGGGCCGTGACAAATGCTTGTTCCGGAAGTTGTTGTATCCAGCATACAACTTCTTCCCGTACAAGTGATTGTACACGCGTTAAGGAATACCTCAGTACCGCTTGCCGCGTGGCGCTACAAGTTCGCCAATGGGCCACTTTAGGTCTATTTAATATCATTAACACGCAAAAAGAAGGTGGTAGACAAGGACCAGTCGACCAAGGCGGTACCACCCTATAGCTTTTCCCAGGGTGTCTTATAAATGTTCGCATATTTCCACACCTAAGCTTTGCAGTCAGTTATCTTCCAAAACAAAGAAATTAATGATGACGGATCCCTCGAGTACTAAGAATTCCGTATGTAAGCTCACTCCACTCTCAGAATGTCTGGGTGGAGGGTGGATTCGAGGGAACAACATCGAAGATAAAATTTGTTTCACGAACATCTGCGGGATTAACAGCAACATTGATGCTGTTCGTCACTACTTGCAATCCAATCGTCCCGCCATGCGTTTCTTGGCGGAGACAAAAATCTCAGAGTCCGCACCGATTAACTATCTTAGCTTATCAAATTGCGAGGTGCACTCCAATTTGAGAAAGAACGGGGGAGTTGTGGCCTTTGTCCGCAGCAGTCTTTCTTGCTGCAGAGATGTTTCCCTGGAATCAGACAGGAAGGACATTCTGTGGCTTCGCCTCAACTCCAAAACATCCCCCAAATTTATTTGCTGCCTTTATCGCTCCCCTCGGATCATAACTGGTATGACCTTCTTGAATACCTCGCCGTCAAGATCGACTTCCTAAACATCAATCACTCTGCATCAGACGTAGTTCTCCTCGGCTCAAACAAGACCGATGGAGCAGGTCGTGCAGTTAAAGCGTTCGCTCTTACTCAAGGGCGGACCCAGCTGATGACGGGCCCTACTTTTCTTGCCCCGCGTCTCGTCACATACCAGTATCCTGCTGGATCTCTTTCTGACCACGCATCCTGTCCCTTACAGCTCTGCTGTCCTGTCGCCCCTGGGTAACTCAGACCACTGTGTTGTGGAGGTTAGGTTTCGGTCAGTACCCGCTGTTTCAGCAGAAACTCGCACAGGCCGCAAAACTTGGCATTACGAACATGCCGACTGGGAGGGGTTCAGAGACTTCTTCTCTACCTTTCCTTGGAGAAATGTCTGTTTCACTGACGTGGATGCGTCGGCTATCTGTTCTTCGATAACCGAAATTATCCACGTCGGAATGGAGGAGTACATGTCTCTTACTGCTGATATAATAGAAGTGCTTGATTGTGTGAGTATTTACACCACTTACTTGTTTTGTTTAATGGGCAGTTCAGAGACTTAATCCTGAAGCTTATTACATACCAGTAGACCTTGTTGCGCAATTTGTCTATAGGTAGTCTGGATACGGTGTCAAGACACGATCTATAGATGGTCTACAGACATCCTTCTTTGTCTTGTCTAGCGTCCATACGATAATGTGAATTTCTTGGTCTCGTGTTCGTTTTCGCAATAAAAGACATCTTTTTATGTGGAATGGACTGGGATATGTCTCGGGGTCTCTCATAATGTTTTATTTATTTTTTATCGGTTAACAGAGCAATGAAGTTTTTTATGTTTGAATCTTTATTATTATTACACTAGTTAATTATAAATGCTACGTACTTATTTTGTTCTCGTATAATAAAATATTGGCTTTCTGCGGAATTCTGAGCAATTTCCATGTTTTTTTTCAAGCTGACCTTGGCCATATAGAACACAATGGATTTAAGGAGCAATAATAGGATAAATTCTAGAAGTTCCAGTGGGGTTAAAAAATGACCAGCCCCAAATATCGTTTGCGCACCCCCCCCCCCCCTAGACGAAATCCTGAATCTGCCCTTGATTATATTTGAATAAAAAAATTAAAAAAGTCAGTCTCATCACTTGATTTACAGACCTCGGAAAATAGCCTATTGTGACTCTTACAAAAAAGTTGCATAACCTGAATGATGTAAACGAAGCTTTATCAAGCATTATCGTACCTATGTTCATACAAACGTTTTGCCTTGGGGTGGCAAGCACCAGCCAGGAGAAATCAGAACTTTGTTGCTGAAAATACAGGGTGTCCCACGTAGAGCTGCAACAATCAATTACTTAAAAAGTTCACGTAAAACAGCTATGAAAATTTGGGTTTATGGTATAACCGATGAGAGCATTCTACTGAAACATTTTCAAAACGAGGGCCCGTATATTATTCATTTTTTGGATTTTACGCGATATTCTAAATATATTTCATGTACCTACTGGGTTGAGTCATTTATTGTAACAGCTTGTAGAACTCCTCAAAATAAGTTGATATACCAAATAACCTATATATCATCTATATAAAAGTTTCATAATATAAAGTTCGTTTACATTATTAAAAATTTAAAAAAAAAAAATCAGTATCCAGTTAAATGGATACCGTCTTTACAAGAACTGTTCAAAATTATCCCCCTTTGCTCGATTTACGCAAAATCTTGCTCGGCGAATCCACGTCTCTTCACAATCTCCGAAAATAAAATTCTTCCAGAGTATTTACTGCTCCATCATGATACACCAACTCTTTCAAATAGTCCTACAGAAAAATCGCTAGGCGTTAAATCCGGCGAGGGAGCAGGCCAAGAAATGAGTATATTGCGCCCTATCCATCTATTGGGAAACTCATTATTTAGACGTTCTTGGACTTCTCGTTTAAAATATAGAGAAGCCCCATTATGTAGGAACCACATATTATGTCTCACATTTAGAGGAACATCTAATAATTGTGGCAGATTGTGTCGAAGAAAATCTAAATAAATTTCATCGATCAGTCGAGGTGGAAAGAAGTGGGGTCCAATAAGCGTGCCATTTACCACGTCAGCCCAAACATTTAATGAAAATCTTTGCGAAAGAAAAGTTCTTCTTATAGCATGAGGACTTTCTACTGCCCAAAAATGATTTTTGTGGAAATTGTGCACTCCATTTCGTGTAAATGTGGCCGCCTCTGTACACAAAATTAATTTGGTAAAATCTTCATTTCATAAAATTTCTTCCTCAATTTGTGACATTTGCGGTTGAGCAGGTGGTCCAGCGTAACCTACTTGTTTTTTTTTTTAAATATTCCGTGTCACGGAGCCTAATAGGTAAATTTACAAACATCCGTGGGGCCAGATGATTTCCTCAAGGAAACGTTTCCGCATACAACCTGCATACTGCGGCTGCATTTTGTTGGCACTCTCCGTATATTAGTATCTTGTCCACTAGTTCATTGGGCCGTTTTTTCACACAATATAATCAGACAAATAAAAAAAAGACTGATACAACTGATCGAACCAAAGACTCGTACTGAAAACCATACTACAACACAAAAAGTTTGCACGCGATAAACGATAAAGTAGTAAATAAAAAAACGCTAAAATTTTACACGGCAGTCGTCGTCAAGAACATCAAAAAATATGTGTAATAACATTCTTATTTTTTAAAATATATAATCTTTCACTATTTCTTTTATCATGCAACTTTTATGTAGGTGATTTTTGGTATATCAGCTTCTTCTGGCGAGTCCTACAAGCGGTTAAAATAAATGCCTCAACTATGAAAACATCCTGTATATCATCCTATGCCTAAGCCATTTTGCGTAAAAAATTTCAAATGCATGTCAATTAATTATACTAATTTTGTCTCGTATTTTTTGTTTCTACATATAATTTGTAACAGGTTTCTTATGGTACGGAGAATTTGGAAAACAAATAATACATGTGGGTTTGAAAAAACGGTTCTGCATGCCCACGAACTTAACTGTTAAAAATCTCATCTCATTACTCTTATGTAGAGCTCCTGAGTTCGCCAATTATATATATATATATAACTTGAGACGTGGTCATTGTCGTCTAGACCAGTAGACTGTAAGTTGAGTCAATTTAAATTCATTTTACACCTTTGTTGCTACTGTTATCATTGTAATTGCAGCTCCTGATGATGATGGCAAAGTCCATTGAAAGCTAGAGAGAATTAAAAAAAGTATAAAGAGTCCTCTTTGCTTAAATTTTGTCGAAGTACCCAACAAAGGGCGGAAGCTTTAATTTTTCACCTATATATATATATATATATATATATATATATATATATATTCAGCAAAATACTTAGTTCTGAATTCTTTTTGTTGATGTTCATTACCTTGATATCGCCCGAGAAATTGAAGTATTTTCCACGAGTGTCCAATACGTGAACCGTAACAGCAAAGAGCAGCTAATTATCCAGTAACATTACAAAATTCTCCATGTCGACAATTCTGACGGATCTGTCAACACTAGGTCTGGAGAAGGAGTCATATTTTGTTGTGGTCTTTTCTACGCTACGGTTTCATACTTTGCACACAAGAAAAGCAAAATGATCATAACCATATTGCAAGTCGGGTAGGAATAAAAAAATACAAACCGTTTGTGTGTTTTGAAAGTTTTGACCTCGTTCATTATTGTCCACTTCAGACTCCATGACAAAGATGTCACTTGATGATCAGCTGTTTACCTCAGTAGACGTCAAAACGTAATTTATACTCGTGAAAAATACTTTACCTTTAGAAATTTGACCAGTCGGTTTACTTACTCCTTGTATAATTTCAGGCTAAGAAAAGTTAAAATGGACCAACGTAAGTTAATGGATAACGCCAATACCATAACCGACATGGCCAAGGTAAGTTTTATACTTCATCTGTTACTCATACAAAAATAGCATCAAGTAGATTGACTCAGTACTTCCCACTAGCACCAGATGAAGTCAGGACAGAGTCAACCTAATTGGAATAGACAATAATTCTATTGTAGAACGATAGTGGGAAAAAAATGAGAAAAACTACTCACATTTATAATAAAAAAAGAATAGTTCAAGTCTATTCAAGTGAATCAAATCGAATCAAAACTTGGCTGGGTGTGTTCACTTATCAAAAGATTATTTCTGATTACATTTTTGTCGCACCTTAACCATATTAAATTCAACTAGATTTTTATTTATGTTCTTGAGCTATAGAAATACTCGTACGAGCCCTGTCTCAGTGAAGTTTGCCCAACTATCAAAACTACATTTTTTATGAAATTTGTCATATTAGCGGAAACGCGTTGAAAACTAAAATGTATTTCTGTTGACATACGATATTTTTATTTAATATTAGCCTAAAATACAACATTTTGTTTGTAACAAAGAAAAAATATCTTACAAATTAAAAAAACTGCCCATTAATAAAAATCAACGAAACCAAATAGCAGCAAATCGTCACTGCGTTACATCGCCTTTTTGACGGATTACTGCTTCCATACGTCTTGACATAGTGTCAACTAATGTTTGGCAGTCATCAGGTGTAAAACTGTTCCAAATTTCTTGGAGACGGGTACCCAATTCTGGAACGGTTCTTGCTGGATTCGATCGGTGCTTTTTCTCCATGACATGCCACAAGGTTTCGATCGGCGATAGATCTGAATATCCAATATTTTACTCTTTAGTCGGTTGGCAAGCGGCGCCATCTTTTTGGAAGATGCATGCAATATTTTTTAAACGCATTTGTTCAATTTGGGGTATTAGGTTATTTTGAAGCACATTAATGTACTTATCAGCATTGATAACACCTTCCACGAAATGTTAACTTTTAAAGACAGTCATTCTGAAACACTTCTTCTTTAGTTCTTATGACACGACTATCACCGATGCATACTTCAAATCTGGCTTCATCAGTCCAAATAATGGAGTATCATTGGTTCGGAGACCATAATTTGTGTTCTTTCGCCCACGCTAGTCTGTTTTTCTTCTGAATCTTTGGCAATAAGGGCTTCTATTTTATAAAAACTGAATTGAGAACGAATATTAAAAAATAATTTAAGCCTACCTTGTAAGTTTTAAATCCAACTTTTTGGGCAGTTCTGTAACAAGTTGGTTTAGAAAACTTTTTTGTTGTTGTTGTGGTTGCCTGACATTTTTAATTCGTTATAATTAGCACACCGATTTTCCTTGATAATCCGTTTGAAGGCTCTTAAGTTGGAATAACGCGGGCGACTTCGAGTTCCCAGTTTTTGAGCCACACATCCCAATTTAATAATATTCAAACTGATATCTCGATTTGTTCACACTATCAGCAATTTGGCGTTTTAAATGCAAGTGAATGCTCACTTCTCTTATTTCGTCAGATACAGCTTTATCACGAGCCATTTTTTTATTGTTAACAAAAACAGCAATGCATTGAAAGTTGACTTAAACGTCAAAAATCAGCTTCTTAATAACGTAAAATGTTTTAGAATGCCTACCTTTATTTTATCGAAGCGAATAAATAGACCATTCAACTTAAGTTGTCTCCATCACGACTGTATTTTGCTATACACAAATCAGTTTGCAAAGAAGACATCTTCAAAATTATAACGCTTCAAAAATAGCCCCATCGGTTTTGTTATATTTCCATAAACATTTAATGAAACCAAAAATATCACATTTGAATTAAAATTTTAATTAGCTCTCAAATAAATTCCTAAATATCATGTTTTGGGGCACTGGGCCACCGAGACAGGGCTCGTATAGCAAAAATTGAAAAGACATGACTATATTAAATAACATTTTTATGCAGGCACAGTCTGACAAATTAATTGTATAATAAAAAACATTCTTTGATTTTTTTAGACTATCAATAGGTTAAAACTTAATAATAATATGACATGAATCTTACACAATGTTCCTACGTAATTTAAAAATGAACTAACCGTTTTATATATCTACTTTGTCTGGTATCACACACGATATAATAATAGGTAGGTATTAAACTTTGTTATAAAATAGAATGGCAATACTGCACAAGCACAAGTTCATAAGTTGTGTAAAACGCAATACTCATAAGAATAGCCAAACAGTATTCGGAAACACGATTCCAATATTCGAATGTCGGGATTTGAATGAAAAGTAGTTATTCGAATATTCAGAATCCAGAATACCGGGTACTGAGCAAAAAGTATTCAGTTGAATACTAAATACCAAACACAAAAATATCTGCCAAGTCTGCCTAGGACCAAGCCTAGACCATGCTGATGAGTTGTCAAAATGCACGAAAAAACTGTCCATGGTTGTTCGTCTGTGGTTGCTTAGGTTAGGTTAGGTTACTTGTGACTGCATCAATAACGATCCTCCACTGCGACTCTTTGGTCTATTGTGGCTCATACCTATTTATACAGGATGCGGCAGAGAGGACGGACGTCTTTGGGATGGGTAGTACTGTCCGCCTCCGTCTACAAGAGAGATGGGGAGGGTGCCGTTTGACTCGTGAGATCCTACCATTATTTTACCAGTTGTCGTTATGGAGCCTTGGACGGTGGAGCACCGCGTTTTCGCCTATGAGTGACGAAGCCCACTTTCACCTAAACAGCATGGTTAACCAGCAGAATTGTCGTTATTGGGCATGATCACCAACTTCTTGCTCCCTGAATTACGACGGTGACGTGTTCCAATCCAACGTGTGTGGTTCCAGCAGGATGGAGCGACCGCCCCCCCACACAGCCCGTGCATCCATGGACGTTATTCGCCCTCTCTTCCATGGTCGCCTTATTTCCAGGTTTGGCGATGTTCATTGGCCTCCTCGGTTCCCAGATTTATCCATATGCGATTTTTTCTTATGGGGACACCTCAAGGCTAGAGTATACGCGAACAAGCCCCGAACTGTGGACGAATTGAAGGGCGAAATTCGCGTGGAAGTCGCCCAAGTTGAGAGAGCGATGTTGGAGAGAGTCTACGCGAACTTCCAAGAATGCCTCCAGCACTGCATCAACGATTTCGGCCACCACATGCCTGATGTGATTTTCCACACTTGACTGTCTCAAATGCTATTTCCTTGTGAATCTGATTCCATCAATAAATTTGTTTTCGAGTAAAAATTAACTACTTTATGATTTTTTAAAACCGTCCATCCTCTCTGCCGCACCCTGTATTTGCCCCAGTAGCTCCGACCTCCTGAGGAAGTCGATCAACTTGCTTGGAGAAATATCCTTCAGGTCTTCTGCTTGGAGGACTACATCTCCAAGTATGCTGTACCTGATTCTGGCAATTGCAGGGCATCTGCACAATACATGCCTGACCGTTTCATCTCCCTCCATGCATAGTCTGCACTCAGCGTCTTCCGCCATGCCCAGCCTGCTCATGTGGTGACGCAATTTGCAATGACCAGTGTTCAGGCTTACTACAGCTTTGAGGCTGTTCTTGTTTAGCCGTAGCAAAGACTCTGTTACCTTCTTCGGCAAGAATGGTATAGTTGTAGTATGGGTTAACCCTCAGGCCATATGAAGGGTGTGCTAGCCCCACTCTTTGCCAGAGTGTCATCTATCTCGTTTTCCTCTAGACATGTGTGTCCTGGTATCCATATAAGGCGGACTTCATTTACCTCCCCTACGCTACCGAGAGCTTCTTTGCAATTCCACACTAATTTCGATGTCGAGTAGGTGGAGTCATGTCCTTTAAGTGCGGCTTGACTATCTGAAAAAATAATAATAGTTCTCTGCCTCAATTGCCATTCTGTGATCATTCTGGCACCCAGTTCTATAGCATATAGCTCTGCCTGGAAGATCAATGCCCAGGTTCCTAGGCTAACAGATTTTTTCATCTTTAGCTTCGGCACGAAGATACCAGCTCCAACGCCTACCTGGGTCTTGGAGCCATCTGTGTACGCACAGATATCTTTCCTTATCAGGTTGACTTGCTGTTCCCACTCATTCCTGTGTGGAATTGTCACTGAGTAGGGTTTAGCATATCTTGATATCTTTGGCATTATACAGGGTGGTCCATAAGTCCTTTGAAATTTCAAATTTGAATAAAATTTAACGGGTGAGCGTGAGCGGCGCGGGCGAGGTGGGGGCAGTATCTTCAGTGTCTGGGAATTCAGTCGCCATGGAGTGTTTCACTGGAGCGGATCGTGCTTTTTGTGTGCGCGCGTTTTATCAAAATAATGATTCGGCAACCATTGCGCGGCGTAAATATCGAGAATACCACAATTTACACAATTTTACAAAGTGTCCAACAGCTCAAACGATTAAGAACTGGGTTGCTAAGTTCGAAGAGACTGGTTCGACGTTAGATAAACAGCGGTGGGGTCGACCAAGGACAACTCGTATTGAAGAAAACATCAACATTGTGGCACAGTCTGTTCGTCAAAATCCTACCCAGTCTACTCGTAAGCGTTCCAGTGCACTAAACGTACCCAGAACATTTTTACAGCGGATTTTAAGGAAAGATTTACGTCTGCATGCTTACAAAATTCAGTTAGTGCAGGAATTACAAGATAATGACGCTATTCAGAGACTAAACTTTGCGAATGAAATGTTGAATCGATTTTCTTCGCGCAATAATGTGTTGTTCTTGGACGAGGCTCACTTCCATTTAAACGGGCATGTAAATAAACAAAATTGCCGTTATTGGAGCCCCGAAAATCCAAGGCGTAAGCATCAGAAGCCCTTACACAGCCCTAAAGTTACAGTTTGGGCTGCTATGTCAGCGCATGGCATCGTAGGCCCTTATTTTTTTGAGGACGACAGAGGTCGCGCATTAACTGTTACTTCGGAGCGGTATGTAGCAATGATAGAAGAGTTTTTGACACCAGCGTTGCAGAATTTTCCAGGCTATA